GGAGCTCTGCACCAGATTGGCCTGAGGAGATGAATAGTGTCATTCATTTTTGAAGAGAGACATGGTGAAAGAAAAAGGAAATGTTGACTTAGATTGTGCTGTGGCTTACACTGGGCATAACGGCAAGTACTGCTAGGGGAATTGGAGAAAGGAAGGAAGGGGGAGGGAGGGAGGGAGGGAGGGAGAGTCCTCCCCAGAGAGCAGTCCAAGTCAGAACCTGAAGCTGCATGCATACCAACTAAGCAGCTGGAGCAGCTGCAGGGCTTTCAGGCTACTGCTAGAGATCAGAAGACCATTGAACTCAACACTGACAGGCAAGAACTCACAGAACAATCTCCCACAGAACCATAGCCTGAAGCCAGGAGCCTGATGGGTGACTTCCTCTGAGCTGGAGGAAGCCAAGACTTCCTGCAACACCTCACTGATCCAGCAGCACAGGGAGAAAACCAGACACGAGGCCATGGGATGTCAGAGAAGTACCCATCTCCAGGTCAGAAGGTTTGCTCTTTAAGGATCAAAGTTCTCCATGTGGGGGCAGAGCCTGGGAGAGGTGGTCTGGGGGCAGAGGCTTCAAAAGGCTCAGTTTGCTTTCAGATTTTGTTTAGAGCAAGTTGCTCACTTGGAGCTATCTGTGGTCCTGAAACCCCTGACCTACCTTGCCCCATGGGACCTGGCATAAAAACAGGACATGACACACAGCCTTGCTGGAACGCTAGGCTTTCGTCCAAGTATCTGTGTCTTTGAATTCCTACAGAAAGGACTGAAGCACATGCCTGAGATGAGCAAGGAACCAAGAGCCAGGAATTGCACACCAGGAAATCAGAGCCAGAAGTCACAGCACAACCCAAAGGCAAGACCAGAGAACAACCAAGGACACAGCGGTGTGCTAGAACCCAGGACAACATTGTTGCTCAACTGGAACAGGAAGCTCTCTTCATACTCCTTCCTGCCCTCTCCAAGGAAGTTCAATTGCCAATCTGAGAGGGTAGAGTGAGCCTAGGCTTGAGGGGACTTTGCTGAATGCTGCAACCTACATAAGGATCATAGAATTGTAGAATTGGAAGGCACCCTGAAGACCATCCAGTCCAACTCCCTGCAATGCAGGACTATGCAGCTGTCCACACAGGGATCAAACCAGCAACCTTGGTGTTATCAGCACCACCAACTAAGCTATTTTGACCTGTCTGATCAATGCCTGTATTGCCTTTCCTGTGTCCTGGGGAGCTTCTCTATGGCAGGGCAGAACCTTGACATCAGTATGAGATGAGCCATGAGACAAGTCAGTGATAAGCACCAATAAGCAGGTCAGAAGGATGAAACAGGACCAAGAATGCAGGAACACTAAGGCTTAGCTGAAAGAGAAAGTCCTTTATACACCTTTCTGCCAGAAAAATCCTGGAGTGGAGTCAATCAAGAGGGTTCTTCACTGAGAAATCTGCTACCTGCAGTTCAACACATGGGGCAGCCACACACAGGTCCTACTAAGTTCCTGGCATTATGGTTTTTTGGGGGTGAATCTGATATCCATTGCCAAGTGGCACTGGATAGCTCCAGCTGAGCCCCCTTCAAGCCCTGCAGAACTCTCTCCAAGGCTGTAAAGGACAGCTTGTAAGCTTGCTAGGGGTAGCTGGCTAGCAGTTATTGGAAATATTAGACTCAATGGTATTAGACTCAATGGCTCCTCCTCGATCTGACCCAGCCAAACAGTTCTTATCTTCTGGAACAGCATGCTACTTGTAAAGTTGCCATGAACTGGTTTGACTGGTATCACTGGGGTGGGAAGCCAGCTCTGATTTGTCCCTATGATTTACTGAACCTGCTCTTAAAAAAACCCCACATGGCAATAACATAAAACAAATCTTAGTGGCATTATTCTAAACCCTTTTGATTTGAAATTCAAACTCCAGTGTTCCAGTAAAAAGGACTCAAGTGGCTTTTAATTTGTCAGGCTCAAGAGCGGATGAAATTATCCTAGGAGCCTGGTTCTGCATCCACCGAAGAAATAGGACAGGCAATATCACAGGTCCATCTATATTCAAACATGGGTTTGACTGGCAAGAACACACAATATACAGTGGTACCTCGCAAGACGAAAAACGCGCAAGACGAAAGAGTTTTTCGTTTTTTGAGTTGATTCGCAAGACGAATTTCCCTATGGGCTTGATTCGCAAGACGAAAAACGAAAACGTCTTGCAAGTTTGTTTCCTTTTTCTTAAAACCGTTAATACCCTATGGGAAACCGTGCTTCGCAAGACGAAAAAACTCGCAGAATGAATTAATATCATCTTGCAAGGCACCACTGTATTGGGGTCATTTCAGATGTGCATCACTCTCCTTGGGATGGTACAGGGCTGGGGTACATCCATATTCATATGGATGAAATATGGTATGAAAGGGGAAGTACTTCCGTAGACTAGAACATAGGATTGCAACAACCACCCACAATTATGGTAACTCCAAACAATTATTCTGCAGTCATGGAATTGCTGAAGTCATATGCAACAGTGAACTTGGTCCACTTGCAGATTGTTGCTGTTTTGCATGTGGGAATTCAATAACATACTGGCAAACTGAGGTGGCACAATTAAAGTGGAACTGGTCCTCTTGGGCTATATCCAACATTTTCTGTTGTTAGTGCAAGGACACTAGCGGATGGGAGAGTTTTAATGTTGTGCAACAGAGAAATGCAATGATTGCATTAGCAGAAACTTATTATGCAACTGAGTTCACAATCTATTGTGCAAGAATGTTGCCCAGAAACTGTTAATGCACTCTCTTGTGCAATAGCATTCGGCTTGTGCACAGATTTCACCAGCATAATAAGTAAACGGCGAAGTGACTTTAACTTAGCACTGCATTGAATACAGCCCCTTGTCTTCTTGCTCAACAAGACGACTTCCAAAAAGAGAGGATTTTTTGTGGCAAGGGGAGTGATGGGGAAATGCACAGAATGGGTGGAATTGCAACTGCTTGATGCTATGTTGTATTACCTCCATGAAGCCAAATCACCCTGAATGCTCAGTGCACAAGAAACATCCTATTACCTCCCAACTTTGTGTAAGCAAATCCAGATGACTGCTCAATAGACAGGTCACCTGGAACAGCTTGTGGATATTCCTAGTTTACCTAGTTGTTGTTTAGTCATGTCCCACTCTTCGTGACCCCATGGACCAGAGCACGCCAGGCACTCCTGTCTTCCACTGCCTCCCGCAGTTTGGTCAAACTCTTGTTAGTAGCTTCGAGAACACTATCCTGTAGCCTTATGAGGCTTTGCCCTTGGGTGGGAAAAATATTGCGCCCGGGAAAGGGAAGTGGGAGTCAACAGACACTCAAGGAATAGTTTCAGAGAAAAAGGCTTTTATTTCTACCATCCATGAACTGGTAGAAGGAGCAAGTGTGATAGTTCACAAAAAGCATGCACTAAGTTCACAGTCATGTGCACAAGCATATATACCCCTTTCCAGTTCCCTCCTCCTTTCTCCTCCCTCAGGAGTCCTGCCCATGAGTTCCTCTGAGCATGAACAGAAAGCTGTCTTGGGACTATTGTGGACTCTTGGCACCCTTCCCAGGAAAGGGGTTTCAGAGTGTTCAGATATGTTTCATTCTTGTGCTTTGGCATGGTTCCCAGACAGAAAGCAAGTTGCAATGTGGTTCTTTAGCAAGGCTAAAAGCCTGAGAAACAATGGACTGTGTTCCCTACCTTTGTTGCAATCTTTTTAGTTACAGCAAGCGGAATGTTTCTGATGCTTAGCTAATGCCTTTTAGCTGCTGAGAAAAATGATTTTGAAAAGCTTTGAGACTTCGAGCCTAGGTGGGGTCACCTGTCCTCACCTTCCTTCAATCCAACCATCTCGTCCTCTGTCGTCCCCTTCTCCTTGTGCCCTCAATCTTTCCCAACATCCAGGGTCTTTTCCAGGGAGTCTTCTCTTCTCATGAGGTGGCCAAAGTATTGGAGCCTCAGCTTCAGGATCTTTTGCTTCCAGTGAGCACTCAGGGCTGATTTCCTTCAGAATGGATAGGTTTGATCTTCTTGCAGTCCATGGGACTCTCAAGAGTCTCCTCCAGCACCATAATTCAAAAGCATCCATTCTTTGGCAATCAGCCTTCTTTATGGTCCAGCTCTCACTTCCATACATCACTACTGGGAAAACCATAGCTTTAACCATACGGACCTTTGTCGGAAAGGTGATGTCTCTGCTTTTTACCTAGTGCTTTCCCCCAAACGATCATAGGTATGTTTGAGTCTCACATTACTGCAAGGAGGAAAAACACACATCTGAACGGGCCCTTTTAGAACATGGTAAGTCTTCCTTAGCAAGAAGTCGCTTACGGTATATCTTCACAGTTAATCCAAAACTTGGAGTAACTTGTAAAACTAGAACTCTGAGAGTTGAAACTTCACCCATTTTATCTACTCGGTAGCTGATAATGAGAAGAAAGAACATATAGGAAACATAATGTAAAGGTCAGTTGCCTTCTTCTGAGATCCATTACCCTAGGAATCCCTGGCAACTTGAACCTAATCACTGTCTTTATAAAATATTTAAGAGACTTCCTGAACCAATTAAGCAAATGATTTTCTATAGTATCTCATCTCTCCCTTCCGCGTATCAGAATTTAATTGTGAGTAATTTCCTGCCGCCACTCAAAACCATGGGCCAAATCCTCAGAGCTGTTACTCTTGCCATACAGCCCTGAAGAAATTTAATTTGATGTGTATCGGTGGAAGGATTTATTTTTGCCAGAGTAAATGAGAAAATAAACTAATTTGAGGATTAACACTTTGCCCTCGTGTAAATCGGAGTGAATATAATTAAGGATCTAATTCTATACTTGAGACCTGCTGGCTGAGGGGATTTAAGGTGGAAAACCCATGATGCCAGCAAACCCTGAGATGTACCACTGGCGTGAAAGATACTCCAGGGGAACACTCTGATGCCCCAGTGGGATACACTGACGAGAGAGCTGCTCAGCTGGAAAAGAGGCCCCAGGACAGGCCAGCCTGGATAGCTCAGTTGGTTAGAGTGTGGTGCTGATAATGCCAAGGTCGCAGGTTTGATCCCCATCTGGGACAACTGCATTTTCCTGGATTGCAGCAATTGGACTATGAGATGGTGCTTATGTCCCTTCCAACTAGGATTCTATCTTAAAAGGTCATGGGCCGGATGTGGGTGGGTGGTATGGCAGAGCTTTGTGATACTGGCTGCTTGACAGCTCATAATGAAAAATTACCATGAATTTTCTACAGGAGCTAGACAGGCAAAAATATTTTTTTTTAAAACCACACACACAAAATATATTTATAGATTTACAGCAGCAGCTTCCTCCTCTGTCTGTAGCAGTGGTTTCATATTAAGGCTTCTATCACATAATGGTTGGCTGTCCAGTCTTAAATCTGAGATTGCAGTCATTGCAGAAGAGTTCATTGTTTCGGATCCGGACTTCAGTCACCAACTTCTGCTTCCCAGTCTGGAACTCAGCAACACAGCAGGTTGGTCAGTGGAAAGTGAGTGTGCTCATACAGTAGAAACGTTCTGGGCAAAGGAGCAGCCATGATCATCGAATCTCTTGGTCTTTGCTATCATTTACATTGTTTTAAGTGCAATGCTTGTGAGTGTGACCTTGGGGGCTCTCAGGCTGGAACTGAAGTCCGGATCCGAAACAATGAGCTCTTCTGCAATGACTGCTATCTCAGATTTAAGACTGGACAGCCAACCATTATGTGATAGAAGCCTTAATATGAAACCACTGCTACAGACAGCGGAGGAAGCTGCTGCTGCAGATCTATAAATCTATTTTTTGTGTGTGGTTTTTTAAAAAAATTTTTTAAAAAAACATAATGAAAAATTGGCAGGTGGCTGGCTGCTTAACCCTGGCTCACTGATATCATCTGGAATTATGGCAAGTAGCAATTGATGAAAAATTGACAAGATCTACTCAGTGAAGGGAGTAGTAGCATCAGCTAATATAGATGTCTGTGTGGTATGGCCTGACTTCATAACCTACACAAATGAAAAGAAGGACAATCAATGTCTTTCTAAACCCTTTCCTTCGACTGTGGAAGAAAGACTAAATTAGGGGCCGTGCCGGTCATCAGTCTTGAAGATTAACCACCAATCTGCGCACTGCAGACATGCTGTACAGAGGTGATGCTGTACAGAGATGAGGCCAGGGCAAACTCAGGATGGGGAAGGGAAATAAATACCATCACAGAATTTAAGATTATTGCCTTGCAAGCCTCAGGAGCAAGGGCTCGCAGCTCCTCTTGGGCTTGCCGATCGAGTCCATGCTATGGGGCGAGCTTCCATTGCTCTGTCCCAGCTCTTGCCAACCTAGCAGTTCAAATGCATTTCAGCACAAGTAAAGAATAAGAATAAGAATAAGAATAAATTTTTATTTATACCCCTCCCTTCCCAGTTCAAAAACCAGGCTCAGGGCAGCTAACAACAAATTTAAAACACTTAATTGTAAAAGCAGCATAAAATACAGTATAAAAACACGAATAACAATAAAATTCAAAGTTCATAAATCAATTTAGGGGAAATCCATCTAATAAGCATTAGATAATCACCAGGGCTAGCTGGCTGAATTAGTCCTACTTGGGCCAGTGAGGAGACCAGGGGAGAATTAGCTGTGGGGTCTCAGAGCGGGTAATCTTCATAAAAGGGGAGGGTGAGGGAAGAGAAGGGAAATAAAAGATCAGGCTGAATTCAAATTGAAGGCCAGGCAGAATAGCTCTGTCTTACAGACACGACGGAAGGAGGTTAAATCCTGCAGGGCCCTAGTCTCATGGGACAGAGCATTCCACCAGGTCGGAGCCATCACTGAAAAGGCCCTGGCCCTGGTGGAGGATAGTTTGACTTCCTCAGGGCCTGGGACCTCTAAACTATGGTTATTCATGGATCTTAAGGTCCTCTGCAGGGCAGACCAGGAGAGGCGGTCCTGTAGATACGAGGGCCCTAAGCTACAAATAGGTACTGCTGCTGTGGGAAGGTAAACCGCCCTGAGACCTCCGGGTATAGGGCGGTATATAAATTCAATAATAATAATAATAATAATAATAATAATAATAATAATAATGTAAACTTGACTGGACTTAACCATCCATAGGTCCTTTACCTTTACCTTTTATCTATGGCAACATCCCTCTGGCCTTTTGTTGTGTGCACTGAGATCCACTCCCTACATTTAAAGCACATTCAAGGCATATAGTATATACAGCACATGACTTCCCCCAAAGAATCATGGGAATCGTAGTTTGTCAAGGAATTGTAGCTCCGTGGGAAGGAAACTACAGTTTCCAGGATTCTTTGGTGGAGAGAATGCTTTAAATGTGCACTGAATTTGCTTGAAATATATGGTATAAGGTAAAGGGATCCCTGACCATTAGGTCCAGTCGTGACCGACTGGGGTTGCAGCGCTCATCTCGCTTTATTGGCCGAGGGAGCCGGCATACAGCTTCCGGGTACAGCATGACTAAGCCACTTCTGGCAAACCAGAGTAGTGCATGGAAACACCGTTTACCTTCCCGCCAGAGTGGTACCTATTTATCTACTTGCTCTTTGACGTGCTTTCGAACTGCTTGGTTGGCAGCAGCAGGGACCGAGCAACCCCGTCGCGGAGATTTGAACCGCCAACCTTCTGATCGGCAAGTCCTAGGCTCTGTGGTTTAACCCACAGCGCCACCCGCGTCCCTTTTTAATATATGGTATAGCTCTCCCTAAACGTCACAAGGAGAAACTTTGGTGATGGGAAACAAGGAGAGTTATCTTGAGCTGCAGAATGTAACGTCCCTCTCCCCTCCTCTCTCTGCACACCCTTTAAATCTGTTCCAGGGCTTTCTCCAACTCTCTCCACTGTTATTTTTATGTCTCTCAATATATTGCATGACAGTTGATGCTCAGTTTGCAAACCCAGCGAGCCAGGCTGCACCCAGGGCTGTGTGTTGCAATGCTGAGGTTATCAGCTTGACTCAGATGCAAACTCTGTCCTTACAGGAAACTTGGGAGACAGGAAACTTGAGAGCTGCAGAAGGGTGAAATACAAGCTGTTAGTGTTAAATCACTCGAGAGTCTGGTTTAGAATCCATCTTCTCCTTTCAATTCTCTGGGACTGCAGACCTTTGATATGTCATTAGAGAAGATCTCACGAAGGGTCACCACTCTCGGGGTTAGTGGTTAAACTTAGTTTGCTGTCTAAATTTAGAAAGGACATTGTGGACAGAGACACAGCAGAGGTTGGGATGGTGACCAGGTTATCCAACCTGCAGAATAATAATTATAATTATAAATGTATCAAGGCTGTGGGAGATGGAGTGAAGGAGGCCAAGGGGGCTGTTTTTACAGAAAGGCTGCAGGCATCTTTATGCTGACCAAGTGTTTGGCATAAAGCGATAAACTATTTTGTAGTGCGCTTTTATTGACATTATTTGTGGCTGAATTGTTTCTGTTATGACTTTAGACGAATGCTTTATTTTGTATCATTGTTTAATTGTTGCCCTGAGCTCCAAATCGGAGGAAAGCTGAGATATAAGAATCTTAAATTAATAAATATAAGCATCATTAACTCATCCATGCTTAGTACCATCAGTGTACATAATGCTAAGTACAAGGGAACAGGTCCCTGCCCCAAGAGGCTTACATTTATTCTTTCCCCTCCTTTTCCCACCTCTCTTTTGTTTTTAGGCCTAATCTGCCTTTCTTTAACATAATGTACATCTTTATATGTATGGGTAGGCAAACTTAGGCCTGGGGGCCGGATCTGGCTCAATCGCCTTCTAAATCCGGCCCACAGATGGTCCGGGTATCAGTGTGTTTTTACATGAGTAGACTGTGCTTTTATTTAAAATGCATCTCTGGGTTATTTGTAGGGCCTGCCTGGTGTTTTCACATGAGTAGAATGTGTGCTTTTATTTAAAATGCATCTCTGGGTTATTTGTGGGGCATAGGAATTCGTTCCCCTCCCCCCAAAAAATATAGTCCGGCCCCCCACAAGGTCTGAGGGACAGTGGACTGGCCCCCTGCTGAAAAAGTTTGCTGACCACTGTTTATATGGTTTGCACTATATTGTGAAGGCTTATTCAGCTTACAATAAATTTGCAGCAGACTAATATGACATCAGGGATGTGGGTGGTGCTGTGGGTTAAACCACAGAGCCTAGGGCTTGCTGATCTGAAGGTTTGAATCCCCGTGACGGGGTGAGCTCCCGTTGCTCAGTCCCAGCTCCTGCCAACCTAGCAGTTCGAAAGCAGGAAGGTAAAAAGCGTTTCCGTGCGCTGCTCTGGTTCGCCAGAAGCAGCTTAGTCATGCTGGCCACATGACCCGGAAGCTGTACGCCGGCTCCCTTGGCCAGTAAAGTGAGATGAACGCCGCAACCCCAGAGTCGTCCGCGACTGGACCTAATGGTCAGGGGTCCCTTTACCTTTAATATGACATCTGTTTGTAAAGAGTCTCATTCTGTGCCTTCAGGTCCAAGTCTGTGCTGCAACAGAGGTTGGATAAGAGGAAAAGTGCATCTCAGAAAGCCCAGCCTTATTTCGATGTGTGTGCATGTGAGATGGTGCTCTGTCAGTGCAGAGTCAGCCATGCTGTTTGTGCATCTGTATCTCTTTACCTTGGGAGATTTTCTTATTCATCAGCTGCTTTAATGAAGTCCCTTTCAAATCCACTTCACTCCCGGCTAATGGCAGCATGGAGCTCAGCTTTAGATCCACCTATCTAACAAATTGAGGGGGTGGGTGTGTGGAATGGATAATTATATTGCATCGAGCCTCTGTGGGTTTTTTTTTTCTTTGCTAATGCAAGTTTTTGTTTTTGTTTCCCCTATTGCCTATTGCTTTGGGTTGCGATCTTTGATTCATCATCCATTTAGATTCCCCCTTTGATGTTTTGCCTGGGGCTTGCTGGGCCGAGACTGAGAGCAAAGGCGAGTGATGCACATCTTGGAAGCAGAAAGGAAAGAATTAAGGGGAATGAAAGGGACGCAGACAACAGAGCATAAGCGGGCACTTTGCAAAGGGAAGAGGACTTCAAGCAGAAGTCAGAGCAGATTTATTCAGAAGTGAGCTGACCACTC